CCCCCCCCCCCCCCCCCCCGCGGTACAAACTCAATAAAAATGGGGCATCCAACGCTAAGAAGTTGTGTTGTGATCTAGGTGAGGTAATTCGTAACAGCTTGGGAGATTGGGTTGTTTGGTTTCTATAATTACACACATGCAGCATCACCTCTCCAAGCTAAACTAATAGCTCTGAAACATGGCCTTCAACTGGCATGGGATCTCCAACTGGAACCCTTGGAAATCGAAACAGAGTCAACCGATGTGCTCAAATGTCTTGATCATGGTTATCCAACATAGTGATTGCAGGTGGTTGATGCTCCAACTAGAGAAGGTGGTGGTCAGGCATAGTTTCAGGGAAGGAAATCAAGTATTGCACGTTTAGCAAAGGAAGCTTCCAAGCAGTCCAACCTAAACCAAGTCAAAGAATTTTGCTCTTCCGCCTCCTTTTGTTGAAACTCGATTTTTGGAAGATAGAGGTGGAACTTCTTTTGTCATAATACTTTCGAAAAAATATATGTACTAAGTTGGATGAGCTTGGCAATCCAAATGTCCTAAGTGGCATCTCTATGGTATGTAATATGACTAGTTTAAGTACTCCAATTTCTCAAAGAAAAGAAGATCGTTGAAGGCTCACTTGTTTCCAAAAAGTACGTGTAGATTTATGGTCTTGTTACAATAACACATCCTCTTTAGTTACTTAGATTATATCTGTTAGATTGCTTATTTCTTTCACAGCAAAGCACCACTGAACACTTCCTCAATTGGATATTAAGAATGGATTTTTGCATAATATACTAGTCACATCTGCCCTATCAGGGCAGGGGTAAGGTCTGCGTACACATTACCCTCCCCAGACCCACTATGTGGAATTTTACTGGGTAGTTGTTGTCGTTGTATACTAGTCACATCTGATTGATTGCTTATTCCTCTCGCAATAATGCGGCACTAGCTATAGATCGACTGGATCTTAAGAGTGTTATTTTGATAAGTATTATTCACACTAAAAGTCAAGCACACAGCTATTGCTAGATCATTAATAAACTATTTGGGTCCATATGAAAAATGGACCCCTGTAAAAAGAAAGGAAAATTACTAGACAAAAATAACTTCTATCATCTTATTTTTCTCATACAAGCATTCCATTTTACACCATAGTGCCAACCGATCTAAGCATCCATACTTTAGAATCCGAACAATAGTAACTACAACAACAACAACCCTTTTCTTCCTTTCTTTACATAAAGTCTAGCAATACAAGATGGGATAGTTCTCCGATTTTGTTCGGCACTTTGTTCCCTAAACAAAGCCACCAGCAACTAAAAGCACTTTGTTCCTTGGCATTACTCAAAGAACCCCAAATGTAATACTAAATAGATACCAAAGTTGCCCGGCAACTTTGCAGTGAGAATATTTGACTGCTGCTTTGTGTCCTCGTAGGGGGCTGGATATTTTTTTTTCTTTGATAAGGTAAATTATATTAATCAAAAGGGAAAAAGCTCCCGTATACAAGAAGTATACCAAAAAGTAGAGAATTTACATCAGAACATGATTCTCTATAAATGACGCCTAATCTTCTATACAAGTAGGGGCTATATGAGTGCACCAAAAAGCGATCAAAGATAAAAGACTATTCCTAAGATATGAAAAAGGAGACTCAATCCCCTCAAAAGCTCTCCTATTTCTCTCCTCCCAAACTATCCACATGAGAGCTAACAGGGCGAACTTCAACGCCTTTTGCTTTCTTCTTCTACGAAAATCAACTTAGCTATATAACATTTCCTTTACAGTGCTTGGCATCACCCATTGAACACCAAAAAGATTCAGGATTGCCCTCCACAAAGCCGAGGACACAAGGCAATGCAACAAAAGATGATCAACTTCTTCCCCAGAGCTTTTACACATGTAGCACCAACTAACAAGTGTAATTCCTCTCTTTCGCAGATTTTCAGCAGTCAAGATCACTCCCCTCGCCGCTAGCCATGCAAAAAAGCACACCTTCGTGGGCGCCTTAGGAATCCAGATCGAGAAGTATGGAAAACTGGCCTCCTCTCTCACTAACATACTCTGGTAAAAGAACTTTACGGTGAACAAACCATCGCCACGCAACCCCTATCTCCAAGAATCACAAGATGGTTGGGGCCTTTCTTGCCCATAGAGCAGTGCCAATAAATCTTGGAGCTCCGCAATCTCCCAATCTTGCATGCATTCCTTCAAAATGAGAGGTCCCATACTACCCCCCTTCATGCTCCTTCCGAATTTGTTGAACCATCAATTCCTTCTGGTTTGATACACTGAAGGCGTGGGGAAAAGATGAGGGGGCTGGATATTAAGAATGCCTTTTGCATGATGAACAATTCTTGAGAACAAGGTTTGGCAGGTCTAGTTTAGTGGTCCAACAGTTTGTGAAGACTTGAAGCTAAGCTGAATATATTTTTTCATTAAGATGGTAACGATAAATAATTATCTGGTTGTCTAAGTTGATGTTACTATAACAGACAATGGCCATAAAGTCATTTCTTAACTCAAACAGCATTTATTCAGCGATTTCCAACCTAAAGATTTGAAAAAGCGAAATACATAAATGACCCCTTTTAATTGTCCTCAACGATCAGACGGGCGCCTCAACCGACCCTTTTACCATTTTGACACTTCAAGTGGCTATCAAGAGTATCAAATAAATACCCGGCCTAGTCCACCTACCTTGCGTGCGACACACAGTCTGAAACGCACGTTGCCTACCCATAAGTAAATTAGGCTTTTATTTTTTAGAATTAATTTGAAGTAGGCCCCAAAATTCCAACATCTTCCAAGAGAACCATTTATGCTACCATCAACGCCATTATCCCCGCCTTCGCCACCATAGTGGTTGTCAAACCTTTGTAAGATGCACGTTAGCACTTAGCAAAACAAATTTTTCCAGCAGATTAAAGCGAATCATCAACCCAAAAATTGTTAAACTCATAACTCATGAAATCTCAACAGAATTACTCCATCCATCCATCTTAGAAACATTTGAAACCCAGTTGCTTGAATCAAGTAATCAATTGGACACCAATTCAAGAAAATTTACCCAAAAAATTAGAATACTCCAGGAAGAATAATACTTTAAAACCCAAGTTCTGAATCAATAAAATAAGAGAGAGAAGACTGAAGACGAAACGATAGAGAAATAGACGTCGTCGAAGCAGTCGAGGTGGTCATTAATGTTATAGCTACTAAGTGTCGACTTTGTCAATATTGAGGTGGATGAGCTCTCAAATGTAGCATAAGGAGATGAAGAGAGAGAAAAAAGGTTGCCGGAAAGGACCTTTTCTGATGAGGTCCTTGGTGGATTTTAGAGTGAAACTTTGAAAAGAGACGATGTTTGGGACGAGGGGTGAGAAGAGGTCATGTTTTTAGGAAGAAGGGATGGGGAAAAAAGAAGGGGGGGGGGGGGGTCTTTATTTGGTTATTTGTAGTAGAAGGAAAAATAGCGACGAAAGAAAGGGGAAGTCAGAAAAGGAATGAACAAAACATGGGAGGGGGGTGTGGAAGGAGCGGGGTAGACGGAAGAAGATGAATGGGAGGGGGCGGTGGTATCAGGTTTGGTTAATAGTAAAAAAGTTTTGTTTTTTCTTTAAATGGTTTTTTTATTTAGTTAATTACATTTCTCAATTTTTTATTAAAATTTATAGGTGTCATTTTTTAATTGGTTAAGTTGACAAGTCATTGGCGAGTGTAACTCACGCATATGGTCCGTTGGACTCGGGTATTCACGAGGCTTATTTTTTACGGACTATAAGTGTCAAAGTGGTAAAAGGGTCATTTGATTTTGAGGTGTATGTCTGATCGTTCAGGATAACTTAAAAAGGCCGTCTATGTATTTCGCCATTTGAAAAATCTGAAGTTATGAGGATTGAGGTGGCATAATCCAAGAGAAGTATTGGCATCTGAGTACCTTGGAAATATTAGAGAAAACTATTAAAGGCTTGCTTAAAATGTGCTTAAGTCCTGAAGCTCGGTGAAGCTCAGATTGTGCTCTTCGCCTCGCTTAATTGGCACTTTGATGTAGGCGTCAAGATGTTAAGAGATGTCCACCTTCACCTGTAGGCTCTATGTTTAAGTCACAGCGTCATGCATATAGCTTAATTATGGTTATCTTTTCTTTTTTCCTAATAATTATAGTTTGTGTTTACAATTATATTTTCTTGCATTACATTTCTATTTTTTTTCTTTATTGGAGTTTTTCTTGGCTTTGCCCACGCTTTAATTGCTCTTTGCGCTTAAAACTCCAATACTCTGGCGCTCTTGTGCGCTTCGCTTTTGACTACTCTGGAGTAAACAGGCATGTTAGATTACAAGCATGTGAATACCCGTGTGTATCCAACTATCAAACTCATTCCTTAACGAGGGAACCATTAGTAGACCGTGATAGATATTAGATAATCTCACAATCATATAACTAGGTATTTCAATTGCAATAGGTTCTGTCAGTTTCCCCAAGCTCTAGAATAATTATTGGGACGTGTAATACACGTTCTCAGGTATATCAACCGGAGCTCTAAGACAATGATTGTTTTTTTATTAAGAACAATGATTGTTATATAAAAATAAGGGTCATTCGCATATCATTGGATACTCTGATCTAGATTGAGCTAGTCTCTCTCAAACAGACGACTACCTCGAGATATTGTATAGTGATCAAGGGAATCTAATATCTTAAAAGAGTTCAAAATTACTCTATCTAGTGCAGAATCAAAACATCGCATTGTGATTCTTGTCATTTGTCATAGAAGAGAAGATTCTTATTTTCCTCCTCATTCAGTTGAACCTATCTCAATGACGAGCACCTTCCTACTACAAGATGAGTCTCAGCCTTTCCCCTGCTTGAAAATAAACTTCTCCATAATTTAAAATGCACTTAAGTTAAACATATGGACCTGATATATTACAATTAAGTTATCCTTCGCAGTGCCTCAAATCAAATATGTTAGAAAAAATTTGAATCCAGATGCATAATCACTAGCATCATCGGCTCAAATTACCAAAGTGGCTTTTTAATCAATCCCCAAGAGGTCCTGGAAAAGAAAACAGTTGTACAACTATCAAGTGTATAACATGTTCCCTCCACCTTGAAGGAGAGTATTGAGAATATGGTAGATTCGATTAGGACATGGTTAGGTGATTTGAGGGGGAAATAATTATGCTTTATTGATTTTGTTTCATTGGATTACTATAGATTCGATTAATACAAGGTTAGTTGATTTGAGGGGAAGATAATTATGGTCTATTGAATTTATTTGATTGGATCTGATCGATGTAATCATAACAACAACTACTACTATAATGCCTCACTTTCGAAGCATGTGGGGTTCAGCTATATGAATCTTTATGTTACATGTCACTTCCTTTAAAACCATCTCGATCCTATATTAAGAAAATCTTAGGTTATTGGTACTAGAAGTTATCTATATTCTTTAGAGACATATAAATCTCTTCTAAGACTAAACATTGGATCTAAAACAAACATACCAACATAACTAAAACTTAAATTGGTATTGCCTATATGGATCTTCTTCTGGCACTGTCTTATTTATGGCTAAGTCTGTACAGATTTCAAGAGAATGTAGGACTTAAAACAACTTCCTTACAAGTAATTTTAGGTCTACTTCGCCCAACACATTCAATCGCCATGGTGAAATATCTATGAACCATAGCATTTGGATGTCAACGTAGGACATGACAAACATCCCAAGCGAACTTCTTTCTTTTCTTTTTATATCTGCTACTTGCACCTTGTCGAATGTGATCATTTTTATTCTAGTCTAATTTTGGAAATTGCACATTCTTCTTAACATTCGCATTTCTATAACACTCAACTTAAGGATATACTAGATATTAGAGGCCCAACATTCACTCCCGTTATATATTATCGGTCTTGCACCATTTTATAAAACTTTGCGTTTCACTTTGGTGGGTGCCCACTTAAGCATAACACTATGGTAGTATTCTCCATTTCAACTATTTTATTTCTATTCTATGCGTAATATCTTCATACATCATACCATTATCCTTGGATATCAAGCCTAAATATCCGAATGTTTGTATTTAGGCACCACAATCTCGTCCAGTCTCATCTTAATTTCACTGTATAGTAGCTCAACTTAGTTGCATATATTCAATCCTATTTCTATTATCCTAAAACCATTACTCTCAAGAAGTTCAAGTTTTAGGTTGACACCCTCGCCAATATCGTCAATTAGCACAGCATTGACTGAAATAGTACACAGTATGGAACCTCATCCTATATGTTTTAACTCATCCATAACCAGAATAAACGAGTACGACTCAACACCAATCCCTTGTGTAAACTAACGGTTATGGGAAACTGTTTTTGCATATTTTACCTCTATTCTCACACTAATGATGGCTCCTTCATACATATCTTTTATCGCATTTATATACTTTTAATATGAATTGTTTTCTACTCCAACTCCTGTCAAAGAGCTTTTTCTTGGATCCCTATGATACACTTTCTCTAAGAACTTTCTTCCTCTCCATAAATTTCTGTCAATCTGCGTAGCTACTTAATAATGCATAAACATAGTTCACCAAAGTTGTAACATATTTAACTACTACGCTTGAGGGAAAAATCAAAGTTATTCCATCATTTCTCACCCTTTTCTTCCTATTTTTTTAGAATGGTAAGATAAACTCTTTTCTTCCTATTTTACTCTCTACAAATACTTCTTCTGTCCCATTTTATATGATGGTGTTTGACTCGGCACAGAATTTAAGAAAGAAAGGAAGACTTTCGAAACTTGTGGTCTAAAACAAACTATAGATGTTTGTGTAGCATTAAGGGTAAAGCGGGAAGATAAATTGTTTCTAAATAAGGAAAAGTGATATTCTTTTTGGGACTGAGTAAGAAGGAAAGAGTGACACATAAATTGGGACCGGGGGAGTAATTATTAAGGCCTCAGCCATTTTTGCTGATTGAAACTGAGTTTCTTTGGCATGCAAGGTTGAAGCTTAGTTTTTCTAGCATGTCCTTCATGTGAACAACCTTCCTGCTTTGACTTTTTCAATACGTATCTGTTAGATTGTTTTGTTGGCATGTTTCAACCTATACTGCTTGGATCCTCCAAAAATGTCATTGCACCCGTGTCGAATCCTCAAATTGTGTTGTTTTGGAGGATCCAACGCAAGAGCGGTGTTTTGGAGGATCCAAGCAATATAAGTTCAAACCAAGATCTTACAATGTATCAGACACAAAGCCCAAGCAACTTACAATTTTTCAACCCAGTTGTGGAGCCAGACTAATCAATTATCACAAAAAGGTGGTATTTTCTGCAGGTAAAATCTAGTGAATATAGCTAGAAAACAAACAAAAACAAAGAAAAGAAGAATCAGGCCAACCATGAGCACTAGTCTCAAAAAAAAGATGCCAACTATGGAAAATGAAATCTCCGAAATTTCCAGCAAAAAACAGGCATGGCCAAAAAGTTTAGCAGTATAGACGTAGTTAATTGCACATTTCAAAGAGAAGGAAAACAGGATGAGCACAGAAAGAAGACTACAGGAAGATAACATACTACATTCCAATTATAGAACCAAGAAGTTCTGAATTTTCACAAACCAGATACAAACAAAAAAAGCTTTAAAGGTTCCTCAACCCATCATCTTGTGCAGCTCCCCATCCCTATCATGTACTCTAGAGGTTAAAAGAATATCATAAACATCATTACCTGATTCAGAAAGCTCATGGATTCTTTGACCACCTCTCTAAAACTGTCATCCTCAAACCAACCATACTTCGTAACTCGGCAAAACAGTTGAATTAAAGATGCAGTTACAAAAGGCTCCAAGTCTGTTCCTCTTGTTGCCAGGTAATTTATGAGATAGTTACCTTCATAAAAGGAGCAGATTAGCTAGCAGATTAGACGTAACAGTAAGGCATGTGTGAGAGGTATGTAATCAGTATTTTACAAGCACAGAAACAGCAGAAGTATAAAATAAGCACGACCATGTTATATGCCAAAATCTGAAGTAGAAGACTCCCAAGATCTTCCACTACAATGGATTGAGTAAGAATTCCCTACTCCAACATTTCTAGTTTATGGCAGGCAGAACCTTTACATTTCTACAAGCAGTACGGGCTCTCGACCATAAAAGTACGGAAAAAGTAACCGCATGTACCTTTCACTTTCTTTCTTTCTTTTTTTTTTTTTTTTTGATTTGCACCGGGTGTCCGAGTCTCTAAGAGCCCCGACTAATCCCGGGGGTGCACAGGCCCTCGGCAAAGAGTTTCCCGCAAGTGCACCACGGTTAATTCAGGTTTTACCCAGTCCGATGGCCCTCAGAAATTGTTTGCAGCATGTACCTTTCACTTTCTTCCTAAATAGAATAGCAAATATGATCCAAAATACCTCTACTTTACCTTCATATATTCTAACTTTATGAGAAATTAAGATGACATACCAAAGCAGCATAAAGGTAAGTTGCAAATAATATATACAAAAGGGAAAGAAAAAAAAAAGTAGAGGGGGAGGGGGGATAAAGTAAGAAGAAACAATTCTAGGAACACAGGCATAAGACTCTGCAGTCAAACTGAAACATTACGAATATCAAGCCGGATCTGCAAAGATAGGCGCTGTTCTGTCACTTGCTTCAACAAGCTTGAACTAGCCAGCATCAATGCATAAGGAGTCGATGCATTGTCCAGAATGTATTGACATTGTGAAATATAGCTGCTATTGACTGAGAAGCATTTCAGGGTATTCTCTGCATGAGCTCGCTCAGCAGAATCTTGTGAATTGTAAAGCCTCTCACACAATGCTTCAAGTTGCGCTAAGCTCTCCATTGATGAAGTAGTAAGAGAATTTCTCAGAGCTCAGTCAATCAAACAACACAAGTTAAAGATGCCAAATTCTTTCTAAATTAGTAATCAATGAACATCTACAAATTTCTAAATTCAAGAGGGAAAGAAGAGACATGGGAGGCATCAATCCGTTTCAGGCCATCATACTTCTTCAAAATTGCACAGATCAAATAAATGTAGCAAAGTTACAAATTACAGGAACTTTGAATCTTGACTGTTTTACGTTACAAATATCCCTAGATATAAGGATGATTCAAAATAGTGCCCATTGAACTGCTCAGCAAACCCAAATAAGGTCAGCTTTGCTTCTGTAGATCACCAATAGTGTTGTTCCTGAATTAAAAAAATGAGAAAGAAAGAAAGAACTATTAGCTATTGAAAAAAAAAAAAAGAACTTTGAGTTGGAGAGAAGAACGTTGATTTAGCTTTTAAAAGTCTATTTTGAGCCCAAAAGCATGAGGCGAAAACATAACTCCCCGAACATGTATAGATAAAATACAGTTCTATATTTTTATCATTACACAAGAGCATGCATTTGTTGAAATCTCCAGTGGTAAGGGGACCAATAGATTTCTTATCAAAAGTTTAATTACTAGCCACCTCTTTTTAGTTTGGGGTTTCACAATTAAGATTCACAAACTTTTTTACGTAGAACACATCTCTGAATGAATAAGGGACTCATTCTCTTCCCGTATGACAAAAGCTTTGAAGTATGTTTCAGTGGTTGTTGATTTGAATTTCTCCATATATAATTTATAAGCAGCATATTTGTGTCATATCATCAAAAAATTAAACTGAAAGGCCAAGGTTATTCAGCTATTGTTTGTTTCAGAAATAGCAACGAGTTTTTGCTTCTCCTTTCCTTTTTTATGTATAGGTCAGACCTAGTAATGAGTTATTCAACATTTCTATATGCCCAGCTTACTGACATGTCGAGAACTAGCTAACTCTCCTGCATTGGACTATTATTCCAAGAGGCTACTAGCATGAAAACTATATCTTGTTCTACAGACTGAACTCATACTGAAGTAAAATGCCCTCCAACACAATGATGTGCTTTCCTGTGCATCCTTATTAATTTCACAGTGTGGCACCCTTGAACTTTGACACTGGTTCCCACTTTCCACTTCTCTTACTTCAACTACTCTGTATGGGGATATGTAACCAAAGTTTCAAATTTTAAGAGGGGGTCCTTTTACGATAAACTACCAAAAGAAAACAATAGGTGGCACTAAACACTACAATGGTTTACATTTCATATTATTATACCTTATCCTTTCTTTACAGCCTATTTTCCAGAGCGTAATATCCAGAATCCTGATTATATTAACATATGTAGCAAATCCTGATTAGTTTGGGTATCCAAATATTCATATAGCAGTGCACAACTTTAGTAAATTTAGGAGGATATCACAATAGTGAATTTACAGAATAGAATTGCATATTAGCTAGTAAAACTCAGAAAGCACTCACTACAATGCTTACAACAACAACAACAACCCAGTATAATCCCACCAATGGGGTCTACGGAGGGTAGTGTGTACAGAGACCTTACCCCTACCCAGGGTAGAGATGATGTTTCCGATAGACCCTCAGCATCCCTCCCTCCAAGAACTCCCCACCTTGCTCTTGGGGTGACTCGAACTCACAACCTCTTGGTTGGAAGTGGAGGATGCTCAACACTAGAGCAGCCCACTCTTGTCATTCACTACAATGCTTAATATCTCAAATTCTGTATCCATTTATTTTTCCTATTTTCTAGCGAGAAAGTTACCCAATGGAAGATTAGAAGACCTGCAAATATACATGGTTTACAATGATTAATATTTCACATCCTATAGCCTCATCTGTATCTTTGTCCTATTCTTTCTAGTGAGATACATCCACAAAACTGATTAGTAATTAATCAATGGCAGGTTATTTACTGCCTTATCCTTGTTCTTCTCTTTCCCCTATTCTTTGGAGAAATATCCATAAGATTAGCAATGCAAAGTAGCAGATTAGTACAAACATCTTTGGATTCACATATTAACGATTTAAACAAGCGAATAAAGAATTACAAAACAAAAAGTATCAGAACTCGCGTTCAGGATTCATTCAGGCTAATTAATAAGTTGTGACAATCACAGGTAGCTGTCATTATCAGATTAACCCAATCGGAGAAGACACAAAGCATTGAAATACTTCACATTCGATCGACAGAGAGAAAGAGAACATACACAAAGCCGATTCGCCGGAGGAAGGGATCGTAAGGAGTTCGCCGGAGAAAGAAATATATAAGGAGAAGACGAAGGAGAGTAAGTGTAGAGAGTTCAATCGCCTTGCCCATCTTCTATATATAATATATATAATAATTAATAAAAATCTTTATTTATAATAGGTCAATTGGCAATTTCAATTTAGGACAAAGTTAGTTACACCTTGTTTGACCTTGTTTGCATGGTTGATACATGGTTGATACCTATTGTTTCGTATCGTATTGTTACTTTGAATATAATATTTACTTTGATTGTTACTTAAATTTTATTGTATCGTATTGTTAAATTCGTTGTTACGTAACGACGAAATGTGCTACTTTATGTAACAACTGATTTGGTGTGGTCGCGTCGTTACCTTGTCTTTTTCTCTCAATCTCACCTTCATTATAATTTAATAATTTTATTTTATTATTTATCATATATTTTTATATAATAATTTTACCCCGTATCATATTTTTGTTTATAATATTGCAAGTATATTATTCATATTGCTAATACGTGATATCATGAAACGACGTCAAACGATATAATCTATCCAAATATTATATTCATCAAACAATACAGTACAGTACTGTAACGACCCGACTTGTTGTTTTGCTTTTTAGAACCCATTCCCCTAAGTAAGACTCCCCATATGTGTTTTTACTATTTTATGACTTGCAAGGACGGTTAGTTCGGGATTTGGAAGAGTTCGGGTTGAAACCGGAACACTTGGTTCCTTAAGTTGGTCTTAAAAGGCTAAGTTTGACTTCGGCCAACATTTTGAGTAAACGACCTCGGAATCGAGATTTGACAGTTCCAATAGGTTCGTATGATAATTTTGGACTTGGGTGTATGTTCGGATCGAGTTTTGGATGACCCGGAAGCGGTTTGGCGCCCAACAGTGAAAGTTGGCTTTTTAAGATTTTTGAAGTTCTTTAAATTTGGTTTGGAGTAGGTTTTGGTGATATCGAGGTCCAAATGTGATTCCGAGACCGGGAATAGTTCCGTAAGGTGATTTAAGACCTGCACGCAAAATTTGGTGTCACTCCGAGTTGTCTAAGTATGATTCGGCGCGTTCGGAGCGATTTGGAAACTTGAAGTTCATATTTTGATTCAATTTGGTTTTGGGGTGTGATTCTTGGTTTTGTTGTTGTTTTACGTGTTTATAGAGTTTGAGAAGGTCCGTGTTATGTTTATGACTTGTTGGTATAGTTGGACGGGGTCCCTAAGGGCTCGAGTGTGTTTCAGACCACCCAAAGCTAAGTTTGGGAAACCAGATTTTTCAATTTTGGTTTCCTTCTTCGCGAACGCGGGAGGGACATTGTGTTTGCGAAGAAGGACTTGGGGGCAGTGGGCAATTGCCCTTCGCATTCGTGAAGCCATGTGAGCCTAGGCCTTCGCATTCGCGAAGCCCCACTCGCGCTCGCATAGGGGAAATGGGGCCGGGGAGGGCCAGTTGACTTTGCTATTCGCGTTCGCTTAAGAGTTGTCGCGTTCGCGATGCCCAGTCAGCTTAGGCCTTCGCGAACGCGAGGCTTCTTCCGCGTTCACGAAGAAGGTTGTTCAGCTGGGCAGAACCTTGTTTTAAATACGGGACTTAGACCTTTTTCTCTCATTTTTCACTTACTTGGTCGATTTTGGAGCTTCAAAAAGGGGATTTCAACCTAGCGATTGAGGGTAAGTAATTTCTACCTAATATGAGTCTAATACATAAATTATGGGTAAATTTTAATATGTAAATTTGTGGAATTTATGGGTTAGATGGGTAAGAGGGAATTAACCTCATAGGTGAACTAATTAATATGTGCTCCTATTTGTGGGGGCTAAGTACGTACGAGGTGACGAGAGTCTGTACGTAGCTGCTAATCATGCTATTGTCCGGGTAGTCTAAGACCCATATCATGCTATATTTGAAATGTTTGCACCCTACTTGTTAACTTAATTGCCTAAGTCATATTAAAAATTGATAAAAGAATTGTAAAAGGTTAAGTTTCACTTACTTGAAGTTGTGAATGGGACACTTGACAGTTATTGAGAATTTGTGTTACTTTAAAGTATTTTCTATTTGTGGAGCGGGCCGAATGCCTCAGTAGCAGATAGATGCATATGTGATTCGTGTCATTCGACCCTCGGCAATGCACAGTTTAAATATCATTATGTTGGATCGGGTCGTACGACCTCGGCATAATTTACGCATGATAAATCTTTGGAACCCATTTATAATTGATATTGTTCATTGACTTGAGACACAAATTGTTAAATGATGGAAAATAAACTTGAGATATATTCTTAGCGGAAAAGGTATTTATTATTCATTTTATTGAGTTTCGTGCCATATTTATGTAATCCATACTTAGTTATTACTTTGTCATCTTATTGTTAGCCCATAGTAAGTGTCAAAGTCGACCCTCGTCACTACTTCTTCGAGGTTAGACTGGATACTTACTAGGTACATGTTATTTATGTACTCACGCTACACTTCACTTGTCACGGCCCAAAATTCCCACCGTCGGGACCGTGATGGCGCCTAAAATTTTACTTGCTAGGCAAGCCAACATTAGAGATTATCAAACCAAATTCTTAAACCTTTCAGTGATTAACAACAATTAAGCCATAACAAGTTATAAAAATGCAGAAATCCATAACAACCTTAATATTTATACACAACTACCCAGAATCTAGTGTCACAATTCATGAACTTTTAAGATTTACTACAAGTAACTTGCTGAAAGAAAGTACAACTACTTTCGAATTAAAAGAAACGGTAAACTGAAACAGCTAGAAGGGGACTCCTAGGTCTGCGGACGCGGGCAGATCTACCTTAGGTCTCCTATGGAATGAAGTCACCAGCTAGTCTCAAGATTAGCTCAGACCGATACCAAAATCTGCACAGGAAGTGTAGAGCGCAGTATCAGTACAACCGATCCCATGTACTGGTAAGTGTCGAGCCTAACCTCGGCGAAGTAGTGACGAGGCTAAGACAAGACACCCACAAACAACCGGTGTAGTTTAACCATACATATATAAATAACAGTAATAAAAGAAACAAGACAAGAAATATTGGGAGGGGGACATGCTGGGGGGATCACAATATAAGGAATCAAAGTAGTGATAAATACTTGACCAATCAATATGCCTTAAACAGATAGAACAAGTAAAAGAGATAAAGGAAACTACACGGCATCACCTTTCGTGCTTTTACTCTCAACCTCACCATATAAAATAATAGAAACGGCATGACATCACCCTTCGTGCATTACCTATCTCGTAGCATGGCACGACATCACCTTTCGTGCATTAACACTCACAATCTGGCACGGCATCACCCTTCGTGCATTATCACTCACAAAAACATGGCACGGCATCACCCTTCGTGCTTTAACACTCTCCCTCACCAAAACAAGATACAATAATGACAGGGAGATAGAAATGACAATAACAAGTCTTATTTCAACATTTGGTTCCACAATATCAACCTAAATTTTGAGATAATAGTCATTCAATACCAAGGTTCGTAAACATGATAAGAGTGCTCAACATAACAAGTAGCTAGTCTAAACATGGATAATATGATCAAGGAAAGCAACAACCACAAGAATAGGACCCACTCACATGCTATAACTCGACAACAACGCATAGGTACTCGTCGCCTCACCTTCACCTATACGTTGTACCCAACATTCAAACACGTAGAAAATAGGCAATTAAGACCTAATCCCTCAAACCAAGGTTAACCACGACACTTACCTCGCTCCAACATCCAACTCAAAGCTCAACCACCATTTTTCCCTTCACACAAGCCTCTGGACCAATATAATCTAGCAAATTACCAACCAAGCGATTCAATTTAAGCCTTAGGAACTACCCACGATAGCAAAGGGTTCAATTTAGTCTATTTTTGAAAAAGTCAACACCGAGCTTGCTTGGTCCTAACCCAAAATTTGGACCAAAACCTGATTACTCATTCAACCCCGAGCCCGGATATATTATAAGTTTTGGAATCCAACCTCAATTTGAGGTTTAAATTCCCAAATTTCGAAATCCCTAGTTTCTACCAAAAAATCTCCAATTCCACCATGAAAACCTTAGATTCTAGGTTGAAATCCTAAAAAATGTAGTGAAAGATTGAAAGAAACTAGATTAGAATCACTTACTTATGATTTGGGAAAGAAAAGTTCTTTGGAAAATCTCCTCTTGTATTTTAGGTTATGATCGATGAAGGAAAGCTCCGGCAGGAGGCCATAACACGGTCCAAAGAAACTCCCCCAAACGACCTTAAGGTCATGAGCCCCCAACATGATGTTCAAGGGTGAAAGAAGACGGTAAATAAGAGATGTGCGAGCAAGCCAACAGAGGCACTGAGATAGGGAAAGAAACGCCAAGGCACCCCCATTTATTAGGGGATTACGACACGGTCATCTAGGCTTTGGAAGACTGACCGATGGGCGCAGTTAATGCATCCATGGAAAACCGAACCGACGACGGTACCTGCACCTTGGGAAGCAAGAATCAGGAAGTGCAATGAATGAGATCGAAAAGCACGAGCCCGTGGATGTCCAATCACCGTGAAGCTCACGCCAGGAGTCGCATCATCGATATGGCGTCGTCGAAAGAAACTCGAGGAGTCAAGTGTTAGAATGATTTCCATCACTTCGTTACGGGAAACATGGAGACTATCTGTACATGGCAAAATCAAAAGACTTGATTTCTCGCTGTCGAGACATTTTGGAATCATGCCTCGAGATCCCGAGGGCGGGAGGCCGCGACCGAGTTCTCGACCTCGGGGCTCGTCGAAGCCCGACTCGGAGGAAACGAAGACCGAAGCCAGGACAGAGGGGGAAGCCCCCTAGGCACATGGCTACGTCTGACAGGCCCGGCCTATCCAGAGCCTATGCTGAGACATCACGTCAAGCCATCCCATCTCCGTACTTTGTAATTGATCTCCACATACTTGTAGCCGAGTCTCCCCTCCTATATAACGGGGACTCGCCCTACCTTGTAAAGGGCTGATGTTGCTCCATTTCTCCACAAAAGCAATAATATCTCTCTCTCTCTCTCTCTCTTTTCTTCTAAGTTGTTCGTTCTCA